CTGCTAATTCATGTATTTAAGCGTTAGCTCACCTGTTAATTTTAAGCACATGCTCGATTTTTTTTTTTGAAAATCCATTTCAACTGCTTGAGTCAAGTGGCTGAAAAAGAATTATTATATATATTGAGCTTATTTCCTGTTATGTTTTAAAATGTTGTGTTTCATGTGCATCATGTCTCGTAAATTGAAGAATGAATTTGAAAAACAAATGTTTTTTGTTGTTGTTGTGTGTTAGCTTCAGTGTTAGCAGTTTCTAGTTTCAGTATTATAATCACACTAAACATGACATTTATCTGTACACAACAGTAGCCCTAGCTAGCTGCGGCTCTTATAGCCATAGCTCTTTGCTAAGACTATTATTGCTAAAGGTTCAAGGGCTTCTGTACCCCAGGCCTTGAACATTAAAACTAAACTTTTCTGATCAAGTTTCCAGTCTTGAGGCCCTTAAACCACCATCTGTCTTTAATGGGTTTTCTTCACCTGCTCATTATAGCCTTTGGGGGCTTTAAAGCGCTCACTAGCGTTAGCCTAGCCATTAACAGTTACCCCAGCTCTTGACTTTTAAACTGGGTTTCTATCAAAGCTTTACAAAAACACATGTTAGAATCCTGCTAACCTTCGTGGCCGTCGCTCTTCCCAGAGGCTTTAAGCTAATCTGCGTCTTTGAAATGTACATAATAAGACGTTAGCATCATTTAGCGCACATGCAGTCATCAATCTTTACCACTGTTGACATGGAGCGCGCTCCCTTCACCGCAATACACCCAGTGTGTGCATGTGTGTGTGTGTAGCTACAGTGATCGGCTGCAGACGCTCTGCGCTGAACCTATATTTGCTCTGTGTTGCACTAACAAGAGCGGACAAGTTGGTATGTGCACGTACTGCAGTAGGTCTTTGATTGTGTGTGTGTATGTATGTGTTTTAAGTGTGTGTGTGTGTGTGTGTGTATGTATGTCTTTTAAGAGTGTGTGTGTGTGTGTATTTAAAGCCTGCATGTGTTTTAAGTGTGTGTGTGTATTTAAAGCCTGTACATGAGTGGTTTATATGGTTAGGGCTGCTTTGATGGTAGCAGAGGAGACTGGGCAGCAGTTTTCTCAGACCCAGACTGTGTTCCGTTTACTTCCTAGGAGATGGCGACCCCTGACCCCTGTGTGAATGCGCCCCCAACTCCACCCGAGGAGCCAGAGGCTTCACTCTCTCCTCGAAAGAAGCGAGGGCGTCGGAAATTGGAACAAACGGAGAAGAATAAGGGTAAAAAAAAAAATATATATATATATATATTATTACTTTTTTGTGTTTTTTTTTTACATACATTGTAACTCAAATAGTTTCCAGATTTCATCGTTGGATGGAAATATTCATGTCAGACCAAAGTGATGAAAGCCATGACTTTCACCTCCTCATTAACGCTCTCGTTAAGTCTGTACAAATGGGCTGTTTCCTGTTTCTCTCTCCTGCTGCAGACGAGCCAGACGACAGAAACTGTGACTCCCCCAGAGAGGTGAGAAACCAGTTGTCCCCCCCTATCTTTGATGGTTTAATGTAATTATTTTTTATATATATAATTAGCGCCTTCTAGGGGCAGCCTTTCGCAGCAAATGTTTGCTGCTGTTAATACAAGAATTTTACAGGTTAGCCATCAATAAAAATGTGATTATTATTATTATTATTATTATTATTACTAAGTTTAAAACCAGTCCAATCAGTTCAGACTATGTTAAGAAAAATGCAGGTCAGTTGTCAACCTAAGATAATAAGCTAATCATGTTGCAGGTCAGTTCTCAACCTAAGATAATAAGCTAATCATGTAGCTGTTTGTAGCTACACTTTAAAATTATTGAATTAAAGAAATGGAAGATTTTTCTATTTCAACATCAGTTGGAACTATTTTATTGTTCTAATAAATAAATGAAGACAGTGTTGGTTCCATAAGTCTCCACTTGGGGAGGTGTAAACTCCTCCTCTGTCCACAGTGAGGATCAACTGAGAAGAGACGTTAGTGTAATTCAACTGCAGCGGGAAAAAAAATTAACACAGGCTCAATACAGTATTTAAGTATTTGGCCTGATTCCGAATCTAGAAAAAAAAAGAAAGTAATAAAAGCTGTCACTTCTTGAAGCGATGTGAAATAACACTGCCTTCTTTCACTTAGAAATAAGCAGGGCGGTTGAGTTTTTCTTATATTCCCTTCACTGTTTGAATTAGTCTGAGTCATAGCTTCAAACGCTCATCCTTAAACCCAGAGGCTCACACTTTAACAGATCCTGTTATGTGTTCAGGGCGAGACTGGGAGGCTGCGGAGAAGGCCTGTACCCAGAGTGACTTTCCAGGCCGGCGACCCGTACTACATCAGCAGGAGACAGAGGGACGAATGGCTGAGCCGCTGGAAGATGGAGGTGGGAGAGAATCAGGTCTCAGTCTGTGTGAGTTCAGAATAAACGACACACAAAGGCTTTTTCCTTCTTTCTTTTTACATAATCAGATTGCAGTTGTATCAAGGACACACGTCAGTCAGACATTAATTAGTCTGCAGTGTGAGAGCTGACACTTTGGACAGATCTTCATTCATCACAGAAATTACTTTTTCATTTTGGGAACATCTCTGTCCCACATCCTGTTTAATATTACACCGACTGTGACGTGGCCGTGTAGGTTTGACTGATGGGCTGTATTGTACTGTGAAACGCCGCGTGTAGTCAGTGGGTGTCAGCCATTGTTGGTTTTAAAGTTACACCGACACGTCTGTGAGATGGAATATCAGACGCTGTCACACGTGTGTGGAATTTCCACTCAGCTCATGCCAATCATGTCAAATGTCTTTTTTACTCAACTGGTATTAAAGAGCGCTCTTAAAAATGTATCTTTTTATGATTATTTGTACTGCAAACTTTTCCGCAGTGATTCCCAACCTGTGCGCCGCGGCACACTAGTGTGCCGTGATCATAAGCTGTGCCGTGGAAAATGATCCAATTTTACTAAATTGGTCTAAAAACATTTATTTATTTATTTTATTTATTGAAAATATTTTTTCTTTCTTTATCAAAATGCGTAAGCGACAGGCAGAACAATTAAAAACTAAAAAAAGAAAGACAATCAGAGCAGTAGAAGAAGATCTTGGTGAGTGTCTTTCTTCAATTCCTGCCAGTATATCAGTGTTGTCTTCAACTAAACAGGCTGAGGTTTTAGTAAATTGAGATTGTTTTGGCAATTTTGTCAACAGTCAACTTAGAATAAAGAACAAAACAATAGAAAATATATATATATATGTATATAAATATATACATATATATTTTTTTTTTCTTTGCCACTGTTGAACTCAAACATACATTTACTCAGTTGGGGTTGTAGTGGTACCACCAAGTTCCCAAATCCCAGATTGGGTTCGAAACGATCAACTACCTTTAGATTTGAAGTGTTTACAGTGGAAAAACAAACGTCCGTGTCTTAATCCACCAAACGAATCGCTTGCAGCTAAATGTCAGAAGATAAACTGTTTCCCCCTTTTTCAAAAATCAGCTTCTCTGTGCGGCAACATTCATCCTGGGCGCTCGACACTTGCTCGTAGTGTTGTGAAATATAATTTAAAGTGGCTATAATCTGTATTTCTCTACTAACAATGGACCGCATCGTGACTTATGTGTGCGAGAGGCCGCCGACGGTGGCGGTCCCTCAGATATTCATCACCGGGGCTCAGCGGCTCCTCTCAGGGAGCGTCCTAAAACTCTTTGTTTTGGGTTTATGACCCAAAAAACTTTCACTCACTTTGGAGCCGGCTGCTGATTTACAGTGTTGTGTTTTCAGGTGGTAGAGATGGTAGAAATGATAAAGACCAGAAAACTGCAGAGTCATTTTTCTACAAGAAGAGCAGTGGTGGAAGAAGGTGGAGTTCAACCTCTGGCAAAAGATATTATTACACATTTAAGGGACGTTGAATTTCTCAACCTTTTTCCTCGAGCAACATTTACATCAGAAACTCAAGTAAAAAAAAAAGAACCGTATACCTTTGGAAATCTGTTTACCAGGACCAAACACACAGTTATTTCTGGCTAATAATCTTGAAATAGTTACAGTTTTACCTATTTAGCATTAGCATCTGCTAAGTAGGTACAAGCTGTGACCTATTGCCTTACAAAGGGTTCTACAGTAAACCAGGTGGATGAGGTTCACAGTCTGTTCCCCCTGTGAGTTTCACACACTTGGGTGAAATGCAAGCAATTTTTTTTTTAAATATCTGATTCATTGACGTGTGAAAAACACACATCTGGTAACAGTGTGTTGAATAAACCGCTGCTCTGCTGGTTTGGCCTCACGGAGTGTGTATGTGTATATGTGTGTGTTAATGTGAGGCGACTGAAGGAGACAGGATGTGTGTTTGGATGTTGAAAGGTTGATAGAAAGTGATTGCGGTGGATCGACAGTAAACGGGCCGGGCACCACGGTTTCCTCGCTCTCACGGCTGTCAGTCAAAACCAGTTGTGTTTATTCACTCTCTGTATTTGGGCTGCGCTGTCAAACCATTAACGTTTTTTTTTTTTTTTTCCCACCCGATCAATCACACAGTAGCTGTAGATTAATCACGATAAATCAACGTTATTCTACATGATGAATATGTCTGCTGAAAAGTGTGTGTGCGGTGGTTTTTTTTTTTCTTTAGAGGAAAAACAAACAGTCACTGGTCAAACTGGTACCTGATCCTCCAAACACTGGTGCACGTGACATCTGTGGGTGGACACGTGCAGAACACACAGCTGCTGTCAGCACTCTCCTCCTCACCCACTCACTCCTCACCCACTGGGAAACTGCAGGACATAATTTCATGTATTTACAGAACAAAATACACTCTGGGAAGTTTGTGTACTGTAACTGTTTGAACCGACGCAGAAGGAGCCGTCCACGTGTCTCTGTCTAAATGAAGGAAATTAGGGAAAAAAACTTGATTGAGTTAATAGAACAAACCAGTGTGATTAATAATAATTCATATTAAGAAGTGTTTTTTTTTTATTTACCAGTCCTATAATCTAAGTGTATGTGAATGGAGATTTATATTCAAGTAGATTTCTTTTTCTTTTTTTTTTTAACGTTCGCAATTTTTTTTATCCTAAATTTAAAAGATTTTCTGACTTTACTCTTGACTGAGTGAATAAATGAAGGTCATTGAGGAGGAAACAACAGAAAGACAGAAAAACTGAATGGAAAATAAAAATAAATTGGAGTTGATAAGGTGTGAAAAGATGGTTAAAAAAAGAGAGAGAGAGAAAGAGACGAGAAGTAAAATGACAGAGTCAGAGGTTAAATAGTTCCAGGTTTTATGTCGGGGGGTGAGGGAGGGGAGGGGGGTTATATGTGTGTGTGTGTAGGGGTGTGTGTGAACTGCAGCCAGCTGTTAACACTGCCTGTGAAAAGAGAACTAATCAAACTTTGAAAACTTCTTTTCACTTCTGCATGAAAACATCTGGCGTCTCACCTCACACATGATGTTACAGCCATGGTGTGTGTGTGTGTGTGTGAGTGTGAGAGCCTTTTTGTTATCACTTTTTTTCACCCTTAGCATCCGTTTTCACTGACGGCTCTGACCTGGTCTTGACTTCTTAACACGTTGTGTAACGTAGTTAAAACACACTGGACTTTTTCTTTAAATTGACACGTTGTTAGGATTTACTTCCTGTGTATTTTCCTTATTTTTTTCATTTTGTCTACTTTGTAAAACCAACAAAATTAATATTTCCAAATGCTCTGTGTTTATTTTTTTCTTATTTTTTTTTATTTTGTCTACTTTGTAAAACCAACAAACAACAACAACAAAAAAACACACTTGCTAACTCGGTGATAATAATATTTATTTTAGTAGGTAGTTTAGTTTTCATAGCTATCTGCTGCCACCTAGCAGGAAATTATTGAATTGTTCTGTCTGTCACACATTAATGAACAAAGAAAAATGATTTGCAATAACAAAAAAAAATAGTTTCAGGACCAAGTATAAGCTCTCACGGCACACTGGTGTGCCGCAGTGCAGAGGTTGAGAATCACTGCCTTAGATGTGTGTATACAATGGACTTAAATGTCTTGTCGCAGATGTGGAGGACCTGAAAGAAGACAGGAAGTAGTTGCATTAGTCACGTCATTGATTTATTCCTAGTAATCATTTTTATGGTCTTCAATCTTTTTCAGTGTTAAATAAGGATCTAATTTAGAGGAAAATAAACCATAAATGTCACTGCTCTGTTCAGTGGTGTCTCAAACATGTGGTTAAGAACATATCGTGCTGACTTTTCATTTAGTGAACCAACAAGGACTTTTTTTCTTTTTTTTTCATTCCTGGACAGTTTTATTCTTTTTCATATTTATGGTAAGACCTTAAAAAGTTTGGGTTTGTACTTTCTTAAACGCCGCCGCAGTGTAAAAGACTCCAGAGAGAGAGAGAGAGGTGGAGGAGTGCTCGAAATCCTGCACTTTATTGAACACTTGGTGCAAAACTCTTGTCAGTTATTTTTCCCACAAATCATTTGGTTTCATTTTCTCGATCTGACCCTTCTTGTAATCATTCCGACTGTCCATCTGGAAGATATTTCACACTCCTGCTCAGTAAAACCTCCTTCACGAGTGCAGTCGACCGCGCTAACAAATGATCGATTTCCTAGAGAGCAGCGTGAGCCGGATCCAAAGAAACTGAGTGGCTGTGCTCCAGTGGATGCTTTTAAGACCAGCAGTATGCAGGCAGTGTCACAGCTAGGGCTTGGCTTTGTGTCTGCTTACTTGTTTTTGTGCCCCCCTGTGGCCAAAAAGAGTAAAATAGAGTAGCATTTCTCCATCTGTTTTTTTTTTCTTTCATAGTGGGAAAACTGGGCTTTGTTCTGCCAACTCTAAACCCTCAGTTTATAGACATGATGTCAGACTCCTTGTATTTCTCTTATTGGCATCGCCACATGTCATGTGACCTGTTCTATAACTGGGCTTCATAGAAACGTCTGCATTTCTGTTTTTTTTTTGTTTGTATTTGTGTGAATGTGAGTCCCTGGCCCTGACACAACCACAGCCTTGTCAACTTTAAGGCTTACCTAACCTTTGACCTTGAAGCCTTCTGTGTGTGTGTGTGTGTGTTGATGTAAAAGTTCACCTAAACATCTGTTGGCTGAAGGCGTCTGTAAATCACTCGCTTCTTCACCGCCGGCCAATCAGCAGTGAGGATGAGAGTAGAGAAGGCCTGATAGTTAGGGTGAAGCAGAGGAGAAAGTTCAGGAGGAGTGAAGTGAAGGAGAGGAGCAGGAGGTGAAGGAGGTGAAGGAGTGTGACAGAGAAAATGAAGGAGCGAAAGAGAGCCAGGGAGGAAAGACTGCAGAGGTTTCACGTTTGGGCTGTAAGTGACTTCAACTTTTAAAATTTTTTTTTTTACTATTTCTAGATGTGAAGTGTGTGTGTGTGAAAAAAGCGTATGAAAATTGTAAACTAAAGATTTTTTTTTTTACCAGGAAGTGACACAGAAAATATATAATTCAGTGCTGAGGTATCTGTATCATCTGCATAGAAAAAAACGTAATTTATTGTTGACTGAAACATTGCAAACTACAAGGTTTGGTTTAATTAGTTTAAAGGAATTTGATTGTGATTTTTTTTGTTGTTTTGACTTTAGTGGCCACCTGGAGTAAAAAACAAATCAAATATATATTTGTGTATTAAATCAAAATGTAACGCTCAAATATTTTTATATATATTTTTGGTCAACGTTTAACCAAGAAAATATGAGAACTGAGGTTAAAGTTGATTCAGTAAAAAGATCATTGTATCAAATAATCAGATTTTAGATTTTTATCTATCTTCTCTTTTTATCTGTAAGGAAATTCAGATGATGAATTTGCAGCAGAGGTCGCGAACATTTGCTGCATCAAGGACAAGAATAAATCAAATTTTACGACGCTCGCTAAAGACTTTTTTTTTTCTTTTTTTTAAATTTTTTGGTCAAAAACCAACATCAAAGCTGCAGTAACTTCACTGCTGTCTTTTCAAGTCAGGAAAACAGGAAAAAACAACTTGATTGTTTTTCATTAACGGTCCCACGGCTGCAATTAAGACTCATTAAAGAGCAGCCACTTGGTGGGTTTTCTATTGACAGGGTGATGCTGTTAGCTGTTGTCTCAATGCTGCACTGTGTGTGTGTGTGTGTGTGTCGGGTTCACCCGCTGGTCAGGGTCAGTCACACTCATAAAGAAGGCGTGGCCTTTTTAAGAAACGCCTCATTGGCTGGGTCAGAGGGTGAGGAGTCAGGGGTCAAGAGGGAGGGCAGGGAGAGTAAAAACACTGAAACGATGACCAGGCCACAAGGTAGCACAAAGTTCAAAGACGTAACTCACAACATTACGGCCCCCGCTGCCCCCCCTCCCCTTCCCAAATCTCTCTCTCTCTCTCTCTCTCATTCCGTCTTTACATTACCACACGCCTACATCCTGGCTCTGTGTTTACTGAAGGCCTCCACATTCTTGGAGTTCCTCCACTCGGTGCTCAGCAGGTCCATAGTTCAGCACAAACCTGCCAACGCAAACGCACAGAACTGCAGATTTTTTTTTTTATTTTTTTATTCTCTGGTGCTGTTGTCTTACAGCTGGTCTCCTGGTTCCGTCCCTGGTAGTTTTTTCGCTCCAGATTTTCTCTCACAGTTCGTCCTCGTCTGAGGTGGAGTCTACATTGACTCCCTGAGTGAGAACAGTTGTTAGTCTCTGCATGTGACACTACTGTATGATGGACCCCCTCCCGCCCCCCCGCCCTCGCCCACTGACTGCTGGGCTGGGCTCCAGCTACTCC